TAGTAGTTGTAGTACAAGTAGTACCAGTAGCAGTCGTAGTAATAATAGGCAAAGTCGTCGTCGTAGCATGAATCGCAGTCGAAGTGGGATGTCGGATGTTTGATCTGCTTCTCAACATAAAAGGATCGCTCGCACGTTCCCTGGCGATTATGAAGTTTGGTCCCGCTCCCCAACCAGCTCTGAACGGGCCTGGGGGAATCAACTCTCAAGCCTAAGGGGGGGATGCATTAATATCGGTGGCACGGGGTTATCGAAACCGATAGGCGTTTCGGAGAAAGCCCCTATATTGCATACGTGTCTGTACATGCATCACTCTGTCAATGATTGAGCGTGTGTATTGTACCGTGAGCATGCCCGTGCATATGTACGTACACCAATTTATGTTTCAGCATCTCATGCATGCGCATACACCGAAACTGTGAGACTGTGCGTGTGCGTGTTTGTGCGCGTGTTCGTGTGTTCCTGTGTGGTTGTGCAATTTCGTTTGCGCGTGTTTGTCTGAACGTGTCGTTGTCTGGAACGTATACGTGCCTTTGTATGATTGCAGTCGTGCTTTCGTTTCGAATCAACTTGTATACTCTCGCACATGTCATTGCGAGTACCTTTGTGATTTAATGAGTTTGTGATGTGCTCCGGTATTCATACGAGCCCTCGTGCGCTGGTTCGAACTGTCGGCTCTTAATCACTTACTACCCTATGTGCTCTGGGACAGGTTGTCTCTTTGCCCGCAGACGCATTCTGGGCGACCTCAATGCTGGTACGCTGCACGTCTCTGGTACTTATGCGTACCGAGCTTGAGTTGTGCGAGGGCAGTCGTGAGGTGCCAAGCTTGTACGCTGTGCTGTTACGCTGTCCCATGGCCGTGCCATTCCTGAACGCCTGCATCAGCCGTGCCTGCACTGTTCGCCGCTAGTGCTTGCATGAAAACTTCCCGCGCCTACATTCGAGCTTGCTGTGCCGAGTGTGTCGCCGCCGTCTTTGCAACGTAGCGCTGATGCCTATGATTGCGTGCCAGCGCTTGAGATTCTGAAGGTGCTTCTGCTTAGGGCCAACGCTTGAGTGCTGAAACTGTTCGGCGATGTCTCGTCTGTGCCCGTGTGGTGTCGAGTTCCCTTGCGCGCTGGCGTGTCCAGCTGCGTTCTGCGAGCCGTGCGCCTCCACGCGGGTCCCGAGAATGCCGCTGGCGGCGCACCCGGGGCTACGCAGCTCGTGGCCCGAGAAGAGCCTCTAGCTCCACCTCGACGAGATACTCCTCGCCGACGAGGCCAGCCTGCACGAGCGTGTTCGCGGGGTGGTGCTCCCGGAAGCGCTGTCCGTGGGCTCTCGCCACGGCCTCCCAGTCCTCGAGGCGCCTGACGTAGAGCCTCGTCCGCAGGACGTCCGCCAGGGACCCACCCAGGGCCCGGAGGCTGGCCTCGGCGATGTCCAGCGCGAATGTCGTCTGCGCCCCAGCGTCGTCGCCGCCCACGGCCCGGCCCTGGCGCGTTGGCGTTGTGCCTGAGATGCAGACGCGGTCGCCGAGGCGGAGTGCCCGGGAGAAGCCCGCGATGCCCTCCCAGGAGGTGCCGGACTGCACCTGGAGCCTGGGGAAGTCGGGCGTGTGGCCGGGCAGCTGCTTCACCTGGAGCAGGAAGGATGATGAGATGCAGAAGCACATACCCTGAGTTTCCCGGGCTTGGCATTTCCTTCACAACGGGCGTTTTCGCCTCGCTCTGGGCCCTCGGACCATCGCAGATCGGCCCAGCTCGAAAAATACAGCAGGAAGGACAGGGATCCAGGGCTCAGGTCGTGATTGTCTTGAGATTGTCATATTTTCGCGACGTCAGACCTCAGCGTAGACTGTCGGGATCCCGCACGGAGTTCTTCGGTCGGCGCCGGGCCCACCTGTCCAGCGCCTCGGGCGCCGCCCCTGGCGAGCTCCGTCAGCGCCCGAGAGGGTGGCCCAGCGCTGATCCAAGAGATCTGCGCAGGCCTCCGAAAGTTTCCTGAGCAGCTTGTCTTCAAGAGTCTCTACATGATTCGTCGAACGACTAGTGAGGGATACCAGACCTCTGAAGTCGGTGGCCCATCGTGGCTCCCCATCGTGGCCCCCCTCTTCGTATCTGTGTAGAGTTGCCTGTGTCGTTGGTGCTTATCTTGTGTGTTCTTCTTCCGTTGCCTCGAAGGCCATGGGCACGTGGCTCAGGTGATCCGAAAGGTCGCCCTTGGCTGTGAGGAACGGCGGCCGCCGGTACTCGTCGCCGCAGTCACCATGTATGGGGGAGGCCCGCGCCAGCACACGGTCGATCTCCGCGCGGTCTTGGTCCGTGAGGTCGAACTGGAAGACGCGCAGATTCTCCGCAATGTGCTCCGAGTGGCCCAGGCGCGCCCCGACGAGGACCGCGGCCACGGCGGCCTGGCCGAGGACCCAGCGCACCGCGACGTTGGCGATGGATAGGCGGCGCGCACAACGGGATAGCGCGAGGGGTGACTGCCTTCAAAGGGCAGGGGAGGGCTCCTGATAAGGCAGGGCCTTCTCAGGAGGGCCCGGATGCTGAACTGAGAATGCTTCTCCGAAGCAGGCAGAGCTTCTGAGAAACCCCCTGCCTTCTTTCAGAAACTTCCCCTCCACCTTGCGCCGCCCCTGCCACTTCCCAGACCCCTGCCCCCGACGTCATGACTATTTCACGACGTCGAACTCCAGAGAGACCAGCTTTCACCCTGAGCTGTTTTTGACGGCCGAAGCATGCCCCCCCCGTCGTGTCTTTTGACGGCGCGAGGGGGTCTGCGTTCCCTGAGATTCGGAGTCGAAAAGGCTTGCACCCCGCCTCCCTACGACAATTTTCGAGCCCGATCGATGCGATGGCCCCGCGGCCAGGAACCCTGCGAACCCGCTCATTGCAACAGCATTGCAACACCCTGATTTTTCAGAGTACGCGCTGTGCAGCTCTCTCTCCCTCCTGCCCACAGTTGCCCGAGGCTCCAGGTGCAGTCCGCCACCTCGGCCTCGGCTACCTGCAGGCGGGTGGGCGGCAGCCCGCCTTTGGAACAGCGCGGCGCGGGAGGTTCGGAGGAGTCCATCAGGGGCGAGGCCCGGAGGAGGCTCGGAGGAGGCTCGGAGGAGGAGGAGAGGAGGAGGAGAGGAGGAGGAGGAGGAGGAGGAGGAGGAGGAGGAGGAGGAGGCGGAAGCGGCCTTCTCCTGGGCCCTCCGCCTCGGAGACCGCGTCCGCGATGTCCGCCACCGCACGGCCCTGGGGCCCTGGGCTCCGGCACGACACCGCCCACGCTCCAGGGGGCCGGGCCGTGGGCGGCGACGCTGCGGGAGAACGCAAGCGCGACCTCCGCGCCGGACAGCACCGGGGCCAGCCCTGCATGGGGCCTCGGTGGGTCCCCCGCGAGAGCGCCCGCTCTGCAAAAAAAATACGCGGCGCTCGGGCGTCAGGGTTGTTGGGAGGCCTCCTGGATGGGGTCCGAACAGATGGGGGCGGAGGATCTCGCCGCATCGCTGATACGTCGGCGATGCATCGGCGATGCCTCGGCGATGCCTCGGCGATGCGCTGGCGGCGTCGGCGATTCATCGGCGATGTCGGCGTGGAGAAAATTGGGCCCAACATCGAGCCGCATCGCCAATGCATCGCCGATGCATCGGCGATGCGGCGCGATCCTCCGACCCTATCTGCTCCGACCCCGTTTAGGAGGCCTAGAGTTGTGCGCGCCGCCAGATGGACACTGGGACTCGGGGGCGCTTCGCGGTCGGCCCCTCGCAGCTGCCGTCGACATAGTGGCGGTCGGCGACGCCGCGGAGCACCCGCAGTAGCTCCTGCAGCAGCGCCCAACCGCCGAAGCTCTCGACGAAGCGCCTGTACTTCGCGAGGCTCCAGGATGCCTCTCCAGACATGTCTGCGTCGGTAAAACATCAGGGCGGGACGTTTTTCACAATTCTCGGCCTCCTGGGATCCTCGCTGGGCCCTGGGACCGTCAAGAAACGACTCGGGGTGAAAAGCTGGCCCCGGGGAAAAGGTCGAGACTCTTGGGGACCCCGCAGTTGAAACATTATCCTGGCGAGAAACCCAACCCTCTCTAAATTGTTCTCCAAGCAGCTTGCTGAACAGGGTGCCGCTCTTGTGAAAGAAGCGAATGAACTCCGGCCGAGGGAGAGGAGAGCAGAGACATCCTCAACCAAGCTTCGATGCTCTCGGCCGTTTCGGCGGAGACGTCCTAAAAAACTCTTGGCTCCGGGACGCCGTGCGCGAGGTGGTCTGGGCCGTTGCGCCCGAGACGTCCTCAGAACTGTAACAGCCCCGAGGTGACGTGCGAGAGGCTCTGAGGGCCGTTTCGCCCGAGGCATCCTCGAAAGTCTGGCTCGGGGACGCCGCGGCAGGTGCTCTGGGCTGTTTTGCATGAGGCATCCTCGAAAGCTAGGCCCAGAGATGCCGTGCGAAAGGTGGTCTGGGCCGTTTCGCCTGGAGCATCCTCCAAAATACAGGCTCCTGGACGCCGCACGCGAGGTGGTCTGGGCCGTTTGCCGTAGACATCCTCGAAACTTTCACCCTCGAGATGCCGCGCGCGAAGTGCTCCAGCTCGTTTCGCATGAGACATTCTCGCTACTTTGGCCTCCGAGATGACGGGCGCGAGGTGGTCTAGCCCGTTTCGCCTGAGACAGCCTCGCGCGGCTCCGAAATGCCGCGCGCGAGGTGGCCCTGGCCCAGCTCATATTGCCTGAGACATCCTCGCAACTCTGCGCTCCGAGATGCTGCGCGCGAGGTGGTCTGGCGCGATTCGCTTGAGACATCCTCGCAGCTTTGACCTCCGAGCTGCCGCGAGAGTGGTCTGTCGCCTTTCGCTTGAGACATCCTCGCGCCCCTCAGCTCTGAGATGCTGCGCGACAGATGGTCTGATGCGTTTCGCCTGAAACATCCTTGCAACTCTGCGAAAGGGTGTGTCGCCGGTATCGCTTGAGATATCCTTGGACATCGGGGTTCTGAGATGCTGCCGGCGAGGTGGTCCAGCCCGTTTCGCCTGAGAAATCCTCGGAGCTCAGGGCTCCAAGAGGGGGGAGAAAGGAGGGAGGAGGGGTCAGACCCAAACGAACCATTTGATTCCACTTCTGCTGTCGAGTTGTGCTCTGGGAAGGGTCTGGGCGACGGTGAATCAGAACATCCTCAGAACTCTGAGCTCCCAGATGTCGCACGCGAGGTGATCCAGCCCGGTTCGCCAGAGACATCCTGGCAACTCGGGGTTCCGATCCCCGAAGCTCTGGGTCCCGAGGGGGAGCAAGAGTCGGACCCAAACGAATCATAATATTACACATATGCTGTCGAATCGTGCTCTGGGATGGGTCTGGGCGACGCCTGCGACATCTTCTGAACTCCGACCTCCCAAATGTCGCACGCGACGTGGTCCAGCCCACTTCGATTGAAACATCCTCGCATATCGAGAATCCGACATGCTGCGCGCGAGGTGGTCTGGCGCGTCTCGCGTGAGACATCCTCGCAACTCCGGGCTCCTAGAAGATGTGCGAGGGGTGGTCCGCTTTTTTCGCCTGAGACATCCTCCCAAATCTGGGCTCTGAGAAGTTGTGCGCGAGGTGGTCAGGCGCCTCTCGTGTAAGACATCCTCGCAATTGGGCTCCGAGCTGCCGCGCTAGAGGTGGTCTGGCGCCTTTCGCTTGAGACATCCTCGGGACTCTGGGCCCAGAGAGGGAGGAAAAAAGAGCGGCGAGGGGTCAGATTCAAACGAACCGTTGGAATCCCCCCCCCGCTCTCGAGATGCGCTCTGGAGAAATCTGGGCGCCCCTGGCCCGACGGAGGAAGTAGCTGGCGCCGAGGCGTGAGCACGATGCTTCCGTAGATGGCACGGGCTGATCACGGGGGGGGGGCCCATGCTGGAGCAAATCGCGGCGATGCCTCGACTGGAGCGCGGCGCGCAAGGAGGAGTCAGGAGGGGGGCCGGAGACCGAAGGGGAGCCGGATGTAGCCACGAACCCCGACCTTGGAGGACAAGTGGGCGTGACTCGCGAGGAAGAGAAACAAAAAAGAAGCATATGCCTATACGGTGCATGATGTTGATTCCCGCGTTGTCCGTTTGACGCTGTGCCGCTTTACGGCGCAGTATGCTGGTTTCCGCGTTGTCCGTTTGACGCTCTGCAACTTGGTCGGGGCGTCGCCGACCATCTTGGAGCCCTGTTGGGCAGCCTTCGGGCGCTGGGGCGTCTCCGACGACCATCTCGGGATCGTCTTCAGCAGTCTTGGGGCCCTCTTGGGGGTCTCTTGGGGCTTCCCGGGGACCTCAAGGAAGTTTCTTGGGGCCTCTTGGGGCCGCCTGGCGGGTTTATGGGCGGAGAACCCAAAATGCTGGTCCGTGCTCCCCCTCAGGGGCCCCTTGTGGGGATTTCCTTTAAGCCGTCTTGGAGACCTCTTGGGCCGGCTTGGAAGCGTCTTGGGCCGTCTGTGCGCTCTCTTGGGGGCGTCTCATGCCGTCTCGGGGCGATATGTAAGGCCTTTTGGGCCGTTTTGGAGCGTTGGAAACCGAAAAAGCGAAAACGCGAAAAACCTTGAAAAACCCAAAGGGGGAATCAATGCATGTTGATTCTTGGACCCTTGGGGTTCTGTTGGGGGGGTCCTTGGAAGCCTCCAGGGGCATCTTGAAGGCTTCTTGGGCAATCTTGAGGCTATTCTTCGCGTCTTGGGGCGTCTTGGACCGGTCTTTCGGCGACTCGTGGCTCTCTCGGACCATCTTGCGGACCATCTTGGGGCCGCCCGTGCCGCACGGAAGCGCGACTGCCGAAATGGTGCCGCCCGTGCCGCACGGAAACGCGTTCGCCGCGTGGCCGGGGCCATGTCCTGGGGGTACCCCCCAGACCCCCCCTTAAGGGAACATTAAACGGGAACCCCTTTCCGCAAGGTCGAGGAAAAAACACCGAGATGCTGCGCGAGAGGAAGAATGGAGGAGGGAGGCGGGACCATTCTCAAACGCACCCTGTTTGAGGGCATTCCTGACGAGGGTACCTCCTGAAAGCGGCATCGAAAGTGCGAAAACATCCCTGGCATGGCGGAGGAAGCGGAATAGAACAGGGGAGAGGAGGAGTTCGGGCACGGGCTGCGCGCTCAGGGCGAGTTTGTCCTGCTCCGCTGCTGCTCCGCACCTTCGCCAACGGCGCGGCCCTGCACCACGCGCGAGAGCACACGCTTGACGAGGCGTGGTGCCAGGCGCACGACGCGGCGGTTCGCGGCCACGTGCACGAGATCCTGCAGCCGCCCACACGACACCAGACTCTGCTGGACGACGCGCGTGACCTGGCCCTCCTGCCCAGCGCTGGCGCGCGGGCTCGGGCTGCAGGGCCTCGCGCGCCGCCGCATGCCCGATGTCGCAAGGGCTTGGCAGGCGTGCCTGGCGGGCGTCTGCAGCGAGCTCGGACTCTCCAGCCTCGAGACTCTCCAGCGCGCCTGCCCGACGGCGCGGGGGGCGGCCGAGGGGGCGGGCCGCGCTCTCCAGGTGCGTGGCGCGACCTGGTTGTGCGCC